CTTGATTTTATTCATTGGGAATTGACTGGAACATGAAAATTGGATGTTTCATGCTTGTAAAAAGGTTTTTTTGACTAACACATGAAGGCTGAAAGTTGAACATTTTGAAAAATCCAGTGGTAAGTTTGATTTCAATCATTCTTTGCAGTTGTTGCCCTATAGCCTTTATTACATTAACAATAACCAGAATCAAATGACTCCATTAACTATTGACAAGATAAAAAAAGAAAGAAAATGATCTCTTATCCTTGAATATTTAAATATTTTTTTAATAATACATTTATTATACATTAGGGATGCCTATTAAATCTGTACCATAACAGGTAGAGTATAGGGTTGGTTATTTATTTATTTTGTTTGTTTGTTTGTTTGTTTGTGTTGGCTGATATAGAATATTTAATTGTGTATGGTCAATTCCCATATATTTTTTTCCATTTAGATTATTGTAATCAAAGTTCACTTACAGTTAATCTTTAAAAACACTAATAATTTAAGTGTTTAAAAATTCATTCTATTGCCAGATTCACTTGAACCATTAAAACAGTTTATTTAAATTTTTTTGTGTTTTTATTTATTTGTTTATTTCGATGAAATAAATAAATACTGGTCAACCAATATTAAGATATATATATAATATATATTGGTTATCGGACGCAGCATGATAATTATCAGCTTATTAGAATCAAATTATAGGTCATTTACCCCATGACTAAACCTTCCTTATTAGAGTCTTAAACAATAGTATACCATAATCCCATAGTATAGGCTATCAGTGTCAGTATGGTTTTAGGGGGGCTGCCCCGATGTACACAAGTGGGATGAGTAGCCCCTGGGGTGAGTAATGCTGTCCACTGACACATCTTTGTTACTGGCCACACACATCACATCTACGTCTAACCTTTAGTGAGGTGAAAAGCACAATGTCTCAAAACCAGTTCCATTGTGTCATGACATTTACTGCCCATCTTTGAGGTCTGACTCTAAATTGTGTGAAACAATACAGCTGTCTATACAGCTCTGAAGAGCTGAGCTGAAAACCTAACCGGCTTCAAAGAGGCGCTCACTGAAGGTACAACATTGACTCCCAGAGTTGTGGTTTGACTAGTGGTATTTCCTTGCACGTTCACCCAAAATTTACATTATGTAAACACACAATCGCCACATTTACCACAGTTATTTTAGACATGTACATAGATGACTACATTTACATACCTTAGGTCTACTCTCACAAATCTATATGCATATATAGAAAATTATCAACCGTTTTGGACTATTCTGCATATCATTATGTAACAGGGAACTAAGATGTACATAAATGTGATAGACAGTCACATTTTATATTATACATGTTTTATGTATTACTTTAGATATAAAAAGTGATGACACCCTTTGAGTATATTATCTTTTCATCACAGGTACAATGTCAAGGAAAGGTCTGGGAGTATGAAGATCAACTAATTGTAACTGAACCTGTGTGAGGGTGAGGTGTCAGGTGTGAAACCCCCTTTTTAGCCTACATATATCTATCCTAATACAATCCCTTATAATGTGGCATGTCTTTCAGTTTTATTGTGCAGTAGTTGCTCTAATTAGTTATTGTGTCTGAGGTGTGGTTTTGTCTTGGTTATAACTTTAAAAAAACCTTTTATTTGTTTAATTGATGTAAACGTGTATATATTCATTTACCATAAACAAGACAAAGAAACAAACAAAGGGGTTAAAGAGACCTTCATAAAATACTTGTAAGTCAAATTCTTTCTTTTTTTATATAAGGCATATTTGAGAAGCAAGTATGTTTCATTTAAAAAAGGGGACGAATAGGCAGGGCGTTTCAGAATTTCATGTAAAAAATAATAGCAAATTGATGACGTAATCCAATGATGTATTGCTGTAGTACATTGTAGTTGTGTATTGGTTTGTCTGAAGAAACTATTGTTTTAAAAGAGCATTATTTTGCTTTTCACTATTTTAGGATCTATAAACACACACACACACACACACACACAGGTTTGTTTTTGTGAAAAGTGGGGACATCCCATAGGCGTAATGGTTTTTATACTGTACAGACCGTATATTCTATTGCCCTACACCAACCCTACCCCTAAACCTACCCCTCACAGGAAACTTTGTGCTATTTCATATTTTCACTCCATTCTGTGTGATTTATAAGCATTTTGAAAAGTGGGGACATGGGGTAATGTCCTGAAAAGTCACCTTCTCCTTGTAATACCTATGTCAGACCCTTGTCATTATACAAATTTATGTCCTCATTTGTCACAAAAACGTGCACACACACACACACACACACACACACACAGAGTGGGCATAGAAAATAATCCCCCCCACCCCCTTTAAAATTATCTAATTTTGTTGCTTTGCAGCCTAGAATGAAGACGGACACCGTTTTTTTTCCAGCTGTATTTACTCAGTGCAACTTATAACATCCAAATGAAAGATATAACACCAACATGTCAGAAAAAGAAAATACAAAAACAGAATCACCCCCCCTCCTAAAAATGACTTGTAAACTCAGTCAGGTGTAGCTAATCACCTTCTCAATGGTACACAAAGCCATTTGACTTTCAACTGTGATCATCTGTGGTCATTTTGATTAGCTCAGCATAGGGGTGTGCGATATAACCATTTTTGATTGTGGGCGATTAAAATGTCTCCACGATCTGCTTTTGTGCTACAGCGCACAAAATACTAGCACAAGGGAGTGATCGTTTTTCCAAGTCAGTGATTCTATTTTTTTATTTTTTTATTTTTATTTATATATATATTCAATTAAAGAGAACATATTAGATTTAATATGGGCTGCTTTTGGTGCTTGACACTTTTTTTTTATTTGTCATTTTGTGTTTCAAGAATAAGGTCCAAGGTTAAAGGTGGGGTAAGCGATTTCTGGCCCCACCTTTAAGAATATGCTCAATTATAATCCCGGGTTGCTATGGTCACGCAGGTTTGTTTACGCATTAAACTCATGGCCACAAGAAAAATATGTCATTCCCTCAACATAAGAAATGTTGACATAATAACAAAACGACATAATATCACGTTCCCATGAGTTAATATCACGTTCCCTCAAATTAATACCTCGTGGCCACGACATATTATCACGTTCCCACGAGTTATTATGTCGTGTCTGCGACAAAACTAAGTGAACCGAACATGTCAGCTCCCGGGCACCGTAATGAACACAGATTAGTTTGAAGAAAATTCTGGACTCACACCTGCCAGATTCAAGGTTTAGTTTCTAAATAGATTATTACCGACCTCTAGTGGTTGATCAGGAGCAGAGTGTGAATAAGATTTATTTCAGTTCAATTCAGTGTACACCTTTATACAGACTTATGGTACACTCATGACATTATTCTTGTAGACTTTTATATTTTAGTAATGGAATTTATTATTTTTTTTTCAGATCTCACAGCCAGGTCATGAATCACCAAAACATGGATCACCAAAAATGGACAAAGGTTTACACAACTGGCCTAGAACTGGATCTGCCAGACTGCTGCAATGTATGCAAATCATAATCCTGAATTCCAAGAACAGGCAACAGGTCATTGTTCTCAGGCTGATTGCGTTTTATGGTTGACATTTCCTTCTTGTTAACGCTATTGTTTTGGGGCAGAAGGAATTTTTCCATTATCAGTATCAGTGTGTATTACAGACAATGGCACATTTTATTAGTTTGTTGCCTCTTTCTTGATATTACAAAATATATATTTCTGCTGGAAAATACAACAAAGTTTTTTGTTCATTTGTTTGTTTAAAAAAATGTGTCTTATTTTTAGTGCACGTTTAGTTGCAACAGTGTTCATTTTGTGTTATTTGTATACTAATATAGTTCTTTTCAATATTTTGAATTAGCCTTTGTTTTTAAATTTACGTTTATCAAGTTTGTTTTAGTAATTGCATGTTTTTTTCATTTTATATATTTTTTTACATTTCTGTTTAGCTTTAGTTCATTTTTTTGTTTTAATTTTATTACTTCAACTTAAAGTTATTTTAGTTAGTTGCAAGGCAACATTTCTTTTAAAAGTTTTTCATCTAATATTTATATTTAATTTATTTCAGTTAACAAATTTGAAAGAATTTTAATGTTTTTGGTTAACAATCACAGCATTATATTATTTATTATATTATTTTTTTGCTTTCATAATAAATAGCTTACTTGTTTCATTTCATTTAATTTTATATTATTTTATGTTTCTGTTTAATAATTTCATAGGTTTACTTGTAGGGTTACTTTTCATTAAAATTCCAATTCCAAAAATACTGTTCCTAAAATCTCTTACAAGCTTGTACATGTGAAAAATGTCAGTTTTACCTAGTTACCAAGTCACTCAGTAAGTAGGCTAATAGACAGTAATCAGAAAGAGGCTTTATAACTCATTCAGTCAAATTAAACATAATAGTATAGCTCATAAAAGTGTGAATCTGAAGCAATCAGATTTATTGAGCACTGTATGAGAAAACATTTTGTACCGTGGGTTTAGCAAAAATGTACTGACTAGGTAGATTGAGCAACCATCTTTACTAGATTCTAAGGGAATGTTTTCAACATGATGTGACTTTCATGTGTCATGAAATTGCTTTATAAGCAGTATCAGTTTGTAAAGGTTATGTACAAGTAAGTACAAAACTGCACGTACATGTCACAGGTTTCAGCACCATGGATAGAGGATTGATTTAAATCTTCATCCTTATCTTGGATCTTTCTGATACATTATTTTGTAATTTTTCTGCATTATTTTATGTGGATTATGGCAACATATCCCTGTACATTTCAAATTATTGTCATTAATTACACTCATATTTGACTCATCTCATTTATTGAAACATTTTCATTATCTGTACAGCTGAAACAGGAAAACAGTGTGAAGTCACAGACTTCAGCATGAAGTCATCGATTGACCCAAACTCCAAACCCATAAACAAAAAGACCACCAACAGGGAATCAAAGAAAGACAATACATTTTCAGAATGGTGCTCTAGTTGGAAGCGATAGTCCTGTCGATCCAGGAGCGCAGTTGGGAGATGCTGGCGTAGACTGCAGGGAAACGGGTGTCACAAGTGTTTCTTCCCCAGGACACAGAGCCCACCAGAGACCAGACCCCTGAGTTAAACAGATGTGTTGTAATTCTCAGTTTATTTTTGTTTTACAGATGACTTACTTGTGGTGGCAGTTCTACCCCAGCCAGTGGTGAAGCAGCGGGTTCCAGGCAGGATGTTGATGGTTGATGGAGCCAGACATACAGGAGAGATACGGGGAGTCAGTGTGACTGGAGACGACAGTTTCAGCAGAGCAATGTCATTGTTGAAGGTCGCCCTGCTGTAGAGCGGATGGGGGATGACCTGCACATATACAGAAAAGAGGGATGAACAGTTAGTAGTGAAAGCTGACTAAATAGAAGGTAAACAAAGATTAAACAAAACAAAGCATTTTCTTATACCCTGTGTTTTTAGAATGTGGTTTGGATGTTTTCTTTCCTGTACTGAATTTTATATTTGTAAAAAATGTGTACGTTTATTTTGGTGGGTTTTAGGAATAGCCTACATTATATACCTCAAAACTTTGATTAGAAAGAGATACGTTGACTGATTTTGTTTGACCAAATTGCACACTTTTCAACTTCATTGAACTTTTTCAATTCTGCAATATTGTGTTCACCGATCAAAAAAAAACACACCAGTTTAACCTTTTAAATGATGGCCATTCAATCACAATTAGAAATATGTGAGTTCAATTAAACAAAGTCCAAAACAGAGATTAAAATAAATTTGCAAACTTTTAGATCACACCCTTGCATAAATTACAGATATTACTACTACAAAAATATTTATACTGAATATGTTTTTTGTAGTTGTAATGATGACTTGGTTATTAATGTGTTTAAAAAACAGAGTAATAATACATCAATTAAAAATTTCTATCTGTATTCTGTATGTAATTGCCATTGGCTAAAAGCAATGTCGATTGGTCTCTTTTTTCAATTTTCAATTTCAATGTCTCTGATCCACTGAGATCATAAAACATTGTTACCTTGGAAACTAATTTGACCTGGATGGGTTCAACACTGGAGCCATGATTATGCTCTCCAAAAATGACACGGTGATAGCCGACCCTAAAAAGAAAAAGATAAAGACAAAACTAACTGTAAAAAGACAGACAGAAAGCTGAAAGAGCATCTATTAACCACTACTGAATGTGATGTTTGTCAGATTGAAGACTCTTACACGACAGCGCAGTGGGCAGCAGTGAGAACCCAGTTCTGGTTGATCAGGGATCCTCCACAGAAGTGGAAACCACTGGGCAGCTGTTTCAAAGGTAAAAGCATTGAAAACATGAAATGTACTCTTTAAGCAAAGTAGACAAATGTGTGTTTGAAAAACAGATGAGTTACCTGAAGAGAGACCTGCCAGGGCCAAGAACCAGAGATGGCATTCTGTCCGTTCACAATCTTGCTGCCGATCGTCTGTGGCTTAATCGCAGGCACTCCACAACCTGTTATTACAGAACGTAACACATTGTTCATGAGACAAGCATATGAGACAGGAAGCTCTTAAGGCAGGTTTTGCATTTTCTAAATATATTTGCCCATCATTATTCTTGCAAACTTCTAAAGAAGACACTTACCCAGAGCAGAGGCCACCAGAGCAAAGCAGGTGATGGAGAAGATGGTGAAGGTCATGATGTGTGATGGACTGTATCTCACTGATGTATCTGTAGGTCATCTCTCTTGCTTTTATATCATTTACAGCAGCTGATAAATCTGAGACTTGATGGAGGTCCATCCCATCAGCTCCAATGATCTCATAGCTGAGGAATGTTTAGATCTGTTATCGCTGGACACAATCTGCATCTTCATTGTCCAGAGCTGGTCTCTTACGTGCAAAGAGAATGAATTCTCCATTGTTTGACCTCATGAAGGAGTTTAAGACTTCTGTCTACTTCCTTGAGAAGCATCATAATTCACTTCTCTCAATGAATGTTATGAAGTGTTTTGGATTAGAAGTTGTTTTTGTTGTTACTGTGTTGAAATTTAATTCAATATATCAAGCAAAATGCTTCCTTAAGTGTTTCCGCTATACTTGCAGTAAAAGAGCTGCTTTACCAATAAGTCTGTGACGTTAACTAATCCTGTATTCAACCTTGGCAAGCCGTTCAAGACAGTGATACTGAAGAGGAAAAGACTAAAGTTGTGGGATTATGTCACACTATGATTATATCAGTTGAGATCTGGGCTAATGTAAAACTTAGTACTATCAGTTTTTTTAACACGACTTTAGTTAACAAAATGAATGACAATAAACTGGTCAAACAAGTTCTTTAAAGACATCACAGCTATGAGAGAGAGAGAGAGAGAGAGAGAGAGAGAGTCATACAATGGTGTGCTTTTCTGTGACATCACTTTTTTTTTACATTATTTTCTAGAAAGCATTATAAAGTAAACTGATTTTCTTTAATGATACAAATAAAAGTAATGCTTGTTACATACTACTGACCCAGTACTGACACATTTTATTTATTAGGTGGTTGGTTTTGTTTATTAATTTTTGTTTCTTTGTTTGTTTGTAATCAAAGATAAAGTACACATGTTATATTTGTGTGTCGAAGATAAGGCTTTATTTTTGACAAAAGCTTGGTGTTCAGTTTAATAAGATTTAATTTTTTTTTAGCTAGCTTTATTTTATTTGAATCATGTTTACATGGTATGTCTACAATTTAAAGTAATGGGTTGCGTTTTTCACAATTCAGAAAGGGCTTTTTTCCTTAGATAACTTCCTCAGACATCAAGACAATACAATATTATATAGCCTACGTCACATTACCACTAAAGAAACCTGTGAAAAACCCCACTTCCATTGTTTCATTCAGGCACATTTCCGAGCAAATTAGAGGGAAACGAATATTCTCGAAGCTCTTAAAGGGGTCATATGATGTTGCTAAAAAGAACATTATTTTGTGTATTTGGTGTAATGCAATGTGTTTATGCGGTTTAAGGTTCAAAAAACACATTATTTTCCATATAATGTACATTATTGTTTCTCCTCTATGCCCCGCCTTTCTGAAACGCGTC